CATTAGACATTATTAAGTTTTCAAGCCTATTGTCAGCACCATAATTAAGATCGTAAATGAGATTCGCATTTTGGAACACCGACTATTTGAAAGCATTATTAAAACTACCATACCCAATCATGACAAGCAGCCAGAAAATGGTCTTCTCCGTTGGTCCTGTTCCAGAAAGGATATTTCTGAATAAGCATTTCGACATAATTCTGCATGTAGTCGATCAGGTTTTTGCGACTGTGTGAATTGCGCACGTAAAGTGTTAACTCCAGCAGTCTTGAACTGAAAGGTATGTAAAATAAGTGAGCTTCCGTGGGATCTTCAGTTACAAATTGTTTGTTTGATTCTAACAGCTTCAAGAACCAGCCTTCAGATGCATATATTCCCTCAAGTATTGATTCATGGAAGATCGGCTTCTGTCCTTCCTTGTAAATATAAACTCTCAGCATCTTATCCATCAAATCATAGCTCCTGTATGTACAATTGTATATAACTAAGAAAAAACATATACTCCAGTCATATAAGAAAGGGGCAAGCTTAAAAGCCAGTAGAAATACCTTTTGAACATGAGAAGATTTCGATAAACAGGCCCATAAAGTCCTGAATCAGCATCTATGGATGAAGCATTTTCTATCTCGAATTTTGCATGCAGTAGTTCCTTATCACCTGTAGAAATCTGTTGTGGTGGCTGCAGAAAAATTTAGTAACAAAATGAGAGAAAGCACATGAAATTTTAAGTTCCAATTAACTAGATTACAACATAAAGTTATGGTCCTTCCCATACCATTGAATTAGAAAATGAATAACTGCGCAGCAGCAACTCGTTCATTTTAGATATTGTCACGGGGGCTAATTTCAGCATTCCAGACTTTCCATGACTTGGAGAAGGAACCATAGAAGAATTATTGTTTACCATGCTTATATTACTCTCCAGTGGCATTTTGAGCATTGGAGAACGGTTAGGTTCCACTGATATCACAGGAGTTACTGAATCCAATTTTGTTGGAGAGACTGGACTAAGCAATGAAAATGCAGGAAGGCATTCGGAAGCGCAACCTGAGCTCTCATTTTGGCCAGGTGTTGAGGGAAAGTGTTGTGTTTGGATATTCCCTGGTGAAGCATAGTTCTTTTCAGTGACATTTCTTGTGGAAATTGCATGCTCAAAGTCTCTACATTTCCCTAAGGAGTCCCGAAGCGAACTTCCATTATTTACAGAAGTGAACTCTTTGTGAATACTACTGTTCTTATTGGGAACACAATCTAACTTGGTGTCCTCGTCTTTACCTTCATTTCCTTCATACCCTACTTTCGTCAAGTTCAAGATCTTACTGTTTGGTTTCTCCTGAAATGTGTGTGTATCTGTGATGTTTCCAACAGTTGCAAGACTTGAAGATAAGCCTTGATCTGGGAAGTTCCTTTTACCAAAAAATGCAACTTTTCCAGCAGAAAGGAGAGATGACAAAACACTGTCTTTGGGAAGTTCGAAAAATTGAACAAGCAAAACTGCAGCAAATGTTAGCACCATTATCCATAACAATCTCCTAGTTTCTATCAGGCTCTTCCATATAAATCTAAATCCACGATCCATATTCCAAAGAGATTCCCTTATCAATACCGTAATTTAAAAGCTTCATTCATCGATTGGATTTCCACCTGACAGCACCATACATGCTTACTTTCGTGAAATTCATGAATCAAGAGAACAGAGTTTTGTCTGTCTACACCGTCAGAATCCGTGCTAATACGACTCCTAATCATCAATGAGATTCAGTATAAATAACACAACGCACAATGCAACAAAACAGATCAATCCACATAGAGATAACATTTATGAAACTGACAAACTGCCTTAATTTTTCCATAAATTGAACAGAAAAAGTGGCACATTTCTCATATATACAGATTGAACACTCTACATTTAGCAGTCTAGATTGTATTATTATTAGTATATCTTTAGCCCCTGTTTAGTAACCATTATTTCAAAACTATTTTTTATATGTATTCATTTTCAATTAGACATTATTGTGCACGTAAAGCCAACATTTTTCACTTCTTTTTAACCACACATTCTCCAAAAATTCACTATCAAAACATTGTTTTTCCCAAATAATTTCCATCAAACAGGGGCTTAATTAGTTTAATATGCAATGGTTTTTCCTCAAAAATCTTAATTTTGAATATTTTAGCTAATTCATATGCAATTTAAAGCTATTAAAAGTGCTAATCAATATTTATCATAAACATAGTCAATTTTCATAGAATCTACTGTAACTTAAAAAAAA